GTGTTTAAATTGATTTTTAGAGAGCGACAGAAAGTAAGGGAGAAGGATAGAAACATCATGATGAGAGAGAATCATTAGTGATTGGCTGCCTCCTGCACGCCCCCTCCTGGGAATCAAGCCCGTGACCCGGGCACATGCCCTGACCTGGAACTGAATGTGGGACCCTTCAGTCTGCAGGCTGACTCTCTATCCACTGAGCCAAGTCAGCCAGGGCTCATGGAATATCTTTTGTATTAATTTTGATTCCAAAAAATATCGCATTAAATATGACTCTCTCAGTGAGTGGGTTTTTGGAGCCGGGCACCCTCCTTCCACCTCCTGGAACTACTCACGGCTTCAGAGAGGAGAGAGGGAAGGAGCAGACTGGAGAGGCGCTGAGACTATCCCGGGGCCCAGCGAGCGGGCGGGGGCCCCTCTGGAGCCCCCAGTGCTGACAACTGTCTCCAAACTCAGACTCGACCCCACCTGACACTTCTCAGCCCGAGACAGAGGCTCAAAGGCTCAGAGAAGCTGCTGAGTCCCCCAGCTCTGGGGAGGGGGGCACCTGACCCTGAGGCCTAACCCACAGCTGCTCAGGCAGCGGGTGAGCGTGGGCATCAGGCCCGGCGGGCAGGTTTCTGTCCCACTTCCCCACCCGCCTGTGTCACTGTGAGCTTTAGCACTGCTGTCCCACACCGCACAGTAATAGTCGGCCTCGTCCTGGGCCTGGGCCCCGCTGATGGTCAGGGTGGCCGTGTTCCCCGAGTTGGTCCCCGAGAATCGGTCAGGGATTCCTGAGGGCCGTTCGTTATCACTATAGATGACCAGCACAGGGGCCTGGCCGGGCTTCTGCTGGTACCAGTAAGCACTTTTACCCCCAATGTTGTTTCCCCCACACGTGAGCCTGGCCGTCTGTCCCGGGCTCACCGACACCGAGGGCGGCTGCGTCAGCTCATAGGAGGCCACAGAGGCTGCAGGAGGAAGAGGAGGCAGGAAGGTGAGAGCCCCTTCCCAGGCACCCCCTGCCGCCCGCCCGCCTGAGCTCCAGGGGTTCCCAGGCCCCAGGCGCCCTCTCACCCCCCTCAGCCCAGGTGACCTGGGGCTCCCGGGGATGGAGCCTCTGAGCAATGAGCCCCCCTTCCTGCCCCAGCCCTGAGCCAGCAGCAGGGCCTGAGCCTCCTGCCCCACAGGCAGTGCCCCTGAGCTCAGAGACAGCCAGGCGGGTGCAGGCCCCGGGGCGGGGGGGGGGGGGGC